TTCTTTCCAGCCATCACCACCACCTCCTCCTGGACGGCGTCAATCCTCGCCTGCAGGCCATCAAGCCGAGATTTGAGCTGTTCACTTTCAGCTCGCTGATTAACCTCCATCTGATGAAGCTGCTGCTCCAGAATCGATTCAACTTGAACTCCTGAACTCCTCTTTTCTTCCTCTTCAGCATTCTTTTTCATCCGCCGACCTAGCTCTTCACCGATCCGTTGCTCCATTTCTTCGCTCAGAGCAGCTCTCAACCGTTTGCCATCTTCCCTCGATTGCTGCTGAAACTGTTAAAAATGAAAAAAGTTAGAAAAATTGAACTAAAATTTTAGGAATTTTTGCACTACCTGAACCCGCAACTCCCGCTGCCCACTGGCCAGCTCCTTCAGCAGATCCTCTCTCAGCTCTTCAGCGGCCATTCGGGAGTTTTCCATTGAAGTTCTCTTTACCTCGGCCACTTTTGCGTTTATCGTCTCTCGAAGCGCCGAAAACTGTCGGCCATTTTCCGCCTGCGCCGAGCTGAGTTTCTCTTCGAGCACCTTTTGACCAAAGTGTCCATCACTTTCACCATCTAATCGCTTTCTTTCCTTCAAAGCCTTCTCCAGCAGCCTCTCCAAAATTTCCTCCTGGTTTTCTTCCTTCTTTTCCCTTTCTTTTTCTTCAAATCTTGAGCGACTTTCCTCAACAGCTCGCTCCACCGTTTTTAAACTAGTCCACAGCTGATCGAGGCGCTCGCCGAGAAAACGAATGTCCGCTCGGTCCCCCTCTACTTTGCCCTTCAGCTCAGCCACCTGTCCACCGAGATCCGCCTTGAAGGAGGTCAGAAGGTCGGTGGTTGTTTTCTGGAAGGTAAAGAGAAAAAAGTTAAAAGAAGTTCAAAAACAAAATGAAAAGAAGAGTTTACCTTTGAGGCGGTCATCTCACTGCGAAACGCCGCTTTCAGCGTGGAAATCTCCGCCTCGAGGCGCCGACCTAGCTCTTGAAAGCTTTTTCCTACTTTTCCTTCTTCTTCAGCAGCAGAAGTTGAGGACCTCTTCTTTACCTCCTTCTCATCCTCTTCCTCTTCGTCGTCCAAAAAGGTCAACTTTTCAGCCTTGGCAGATGACTTTCCCAGCAGCAGCACTGGTAGTGCACTACCATTAACGTCGGCAGCCCGGGGAGATAAATGGCCGCCATTTATTTGCGCATTTATTTCCGAGTTGTTGTTGTTGCTGCTGCTGCTGCCTCTCTCGTTGATGCGTCCCATTTGACTCATTTGCGCCGAGAATGCTGCTGCTGTTGAAGTTGCTAACGAGCCCAGCGCTGGCTTATCTGAATGAAGACAAAAACAAATGAAGAAAAGTTGTAAAATAGCGGAAAAATCTAAAACAAAACTGTGTGTATCACTCACCAGCGCTAATCACTTCAAAAGCTTCCTCTTCGTTTTCTTCAATCTCGTTCACCTCCTCCAAGGCGTCATCCTCAAAGACCTCCTCAATGTCCTCGTCCTCTTCAACTTCACCCTCCTCCTCCTGATCCTGATCATCATCTTCCTCCTCCAAAATGGACAAATG